AAATGCATGATCCTGGATTCGAAAACAGTTGCTCTAAAGGGTGTTATTGGGATAATTAGTAATATTTGACTATAAATTGTGTATTATGTACTAGTACTATATTATTGCTAAATGTCTTGAATTTGATGATTGTGTTATGATTATGTATTTAGGGGTGAAGGGCATAAAATCTATGGCTTATTATTAAATAGTTCAACAAATTAATGATAATTAAAACAATAATCTTATATATACAGAGATGGATAGATGAATAGGTAGATCAACAGATGGAATTTATCAATTGATAAATTAGATAAAGAGGATTCATGTACTACTTACAACTATTCTGTAGGTTTGAAATGTTTTAAAGTGAAAGATTGGGAAGAAAACCCTGATCCTTAGAGATGGTAAAGCATATAATAATATATACTAACCCTTTCAATCCTCATAACAACCCTGTATTAGGTACTATTACTGTCCTGATTTTAGGGACAGGATACTGAGGCACAGAGACTTTTAAGGACCTTGCTCAGTGTTGCACAGCCAGTGGGTGGGTGAGACAGAACTCAAATCCTGATATGCATTATTTCTGTTTCCAAAACACTCTGCATATGTGTTAGGTTGAACTATATAGAAACTGCTCTTATTTGATCATGTTTGACCTGTAAAGAAAGACATTTCTTATGACCCAACCTAGGAGCAGGGATCTCTTTTATATAATGGTTGCTTTGGTATTCCTCTTCATGGGCAGACTGTGGGCTCTGTGCGGGGGTGGGACTCTATCTATCTTGCTCACCATTGTCTCCAAGGACTGCCCAGCTCATGGTTGGCATTTGATTAATGTCAGTTGATGAACAATACAATAAAAAAAAACTTTGATTACTTCTCCCTACCCCCCTCCCATATATATATATATATATATATATATATATATATATATATGCTATTTCTGTTCCCCCAATATCTCTGTCATTTTTAGAGGAACCAGTGGATAACCATAAATTATTCTGAAAGTTGCAGCCTCAGCAGGGGTAATTGCAACATAGTCAACTATTTGACTTCAAGAGAGCTCTTTCAAGTAATGAAGATGTTAATTAAAAACATGCCCCTGCTAAGATGACCTCTCAGTTCAGGAAATGCAAAACGTTTACGCTCCCCACCAGCATGCTGTGATTTTGGCTAGAATGTATGTAGTACTCAGAATGCCATCCACTCGAATCCTTATTTGAGCAGTAAACACATTTTTAAGAAACACTGTGCAGTCTCTAAAAATAAGCAGTATTTCAAAATGAAAACCAGCATACAAGTAGTTGGCACATCTGGTAGTCAGAAAAGTTGTACGGTTTGTTTTCAGGGAATGACAAGCCAAGGAGTGTTCAAACTTGGCCAGCTGAAAACTTTTCTTCTATCTGTGATGACACCTGGTTTTAAAAAAGTTGGCTCCAGGCTCAAAGCAGAAAGAAATGGGTAGAGAATTAAATAGAATCATTTACTTGTATCTTGTTTTGTGCAAGGAATTATAAAGAACTGTTTTCTTCTTACTTCAAGAAAGAGAATGTAGCAAAAAAAAAAAAGTGATGACAGGCATGAACAATAATGACAACAACAACTACAACAAAAATTGCAGCTAACATCTATCAAGTACCTACTATGCCCTAGGCAACGTGTGAAGTCCTTTACGTGTGTAATTAATACTAGATGCACAATAACACCTTATAAAGTGGTGTTATTTTTATTCCCATTTTATAGATGAGAACACATAGAGATAAACACAAATGTTTAAGTAATTTGCCCAAGTCACACAACCAACCTGGGTTGGGGGTTCCCAAGCTGTCTGTCTCCAGAGCCCATACTACAATGCCCTACACAATTCTAAGCAGTCTGGAGGTGTTCATTCTGCCTGGCATTATGAAAAAAAATTGGAGTTAGATGGTTGCATTAAGCACAGTGGTTCTTGGTCAGACTGTTATTTGCCTCCCTGTGTGAGAGTGATGATGCCATTTTACAGAACATTCTTACAGCTGCTCCACAAACATAACGTGTTCCCAAGAAATTTACCGTATAGCTTCGTGCTAAACGTATGTGATAGTCAGAAGCTGTCACTCCTCTATGGTTAGATGAGGATCAAGTTAACCAGTGAATTTGGGAGTAGAAGGTGTTATAGTGAAAATGATGGAGACACTGGGGAGGGGAAGATTAATGTTTCTTTATTACAGACGGAGAAAATACTGTGAATGTGAGGATCCAGGGTATAGGGTTACAAGGGCAGCCTTGACCAGTGTAAAATTCTAGTCCAGGGAGATAGATTTATAGTCACTACTCCCGCAGCTTCATCTTCCATTCAGACCTAGTTAGCCACACTGTGGAGAAACATCAAAGGATTGACTTAGTTTGAGTCTGTTTTTGAAAAGTGGCACTGTTTTAGACAGGAAGACCAGGAGGGCTTCAGTGGAAATAATGTGTCAGTATTTAATGTCATGTATAACTATGTTTTATTTTCATTCATTCATTCATTCATTCTTGGCTTCATTGACAGACTTTATTGTGTACTGTATAGGCCCTGGGCTAGGTGCTGAGGAAGCAGCGATATCTCAGACAAGAGCTTTGTCTTTAAAAAGCAGTAAAGTGTAAACGGATGACAGGCATGTAAACATTTCCATTCCCTGAAGGTGCTGAGGCAAATGTGTTACGAAAGACTGTGGGGGAACGAAAAGAAGAATTGGTCAGATTTGCCCAGTTGGCAGTGGAGGAGAGGAAGTCACAGAGAAGATGACCTTTGAATCAAGACCTTGAAGACAGAGGTGCTCCTAGGTAGACAAGTTAGAGTAAGGCTGTGCCAAGCAGAGAGAAAAGCAGGAACAAGAAAAGGGCTAAAATAATTTTTTCAGCAATCTTATTGGTATTTATCTATGCTAAGGTGTGCATTAATTTCACATCGGATTATCTCTGAAATATTAACACCATGTACTAGTTTATTGTTCTTACTGGTATATAAAATAATGGTATGACATAATATATGGCATCTAATATTTGATGAAATAATGTATTGATATGCTTTGACACCAAGTAGTATTTGTTGGGTGTGCTGTTCCAGCTGCTAATATGTCTTTGTTTTAGAGGTAGATATTAATACCATTTTATGGTGAAGGAAACAGGCATGAAACAAATGAGTTCCTTAGATGAATATGTGACACTGAATTTGACAGAATACCTGACATCTAATGTTGCTTTTAGTAGCAGTGGCTGGTAGGGATAGACCCTGGGGATAGAATTCAAGTGTCTTATATACTGGGCTAGGGTATGAACCATTACACTGCCTTTATCCAAGGTAAAAAGGGGGTTTGAAAAGCAAATCACGTGTAGCTTGTTGGAATTTATAAAGATATTAAGTCTATGATCATTGCACAAAAATGTACCCACTACTCTTAGTGTCAAGATGAAGCCTGATGGTACAGTGTTATATGAGTTATGAAAACAGAGAGACTATCATCTATAATTGATCTTTCAAGGCACAGGAAGATGCATCAGATAGAAGCTGCAGGGAGAGGGAAAGGTTCCGGTTTGTGTATCTGAAAAAAAAAATCAGACAGAAATTTCTTTTGGACCTTTCTTGGATCTTGGAAAGTATCCAAGGAAGAAACAAAGCATCCAGCACCTAAACTTAAGGACACAGGTGCCATGAACATACACTCTTGTAGACTCCGTTTCTGCTCTGTCAGTAAATCCCTGTGTGATTTACTGACACAAGTCAGTTACCATTTGGATTTTAGTTTCCCAGAGGGCTGGACTAGAGAAGACTTCCTGCTAGCTAAAGATGCTGTGACTCTCCTAGCACTTTGGAGATGTGGTTTCATTGATGAGAGCATTGGTGATTACTCTAAGGTCTTGTTTATCCTTAGTTTGTGGGCTCTTGGAAGAGAATGTTACAAAAGATGAAGAAGTCATTTTTTTGGCTATTAACCTAATTTTTGAGAAGACAAAATAAAAAACTATACTCCTTAGGGCTAAGGAAAGTTACCGTGATGCTTTTCTACTACTTTGATCCCAAATATATCGATGAGCAAGATGGGGAATTTGGTGAGAAAATTTTAGAGCCAATTTGCCAGAAAAACCTGAGATCATATTTATTTTGATTTATTTGAAATGGGAACTGAGACTGGACCAGGTAGTTTGCAAAAACTGTTTGAAAAAGTATATCCATGCAAAAAGAATGTCTGGAATGATTCAACCACTATTATTATTTTTTATAAATGAGTCATGGCAGTGTTTACCTTTCTCCTCTTTGCTCTTTACGTTTCTGTAATGGCACAGATTCTTGAGGGTTTCTTTTTTTTCCTTTCCCTTCTGGGATATGTACCAAATTTTACTACGTTCGAAGATTGTTACTAATGAAATGAAAAATTTATGTCAAATTTGGTTAACATGCTACTTTTAGAATGAATGTTTTGTTTAGGGTTCTCTCATCTTGATTTTTTAAAAAATTGGGTGTATGTCCAATGAAAATATATTAGGATGAAGAGGAAAAATAAAGATTGGAGAGACACAGCCAGTCTATATCCTTTTAAAGAGGCATTTTGGAAGACCAGACTTGGAATGAAATGAACCAGTTAAACAAGTTTTTTTCAGGAGTGTCAACTTTCCTTGCTGGGTCATTCAAGATATTAGCTATTCTAGAAAAAACATGGTTTGATACAAGTAATCCCATCTACTTACCACCTTAACCCTTTAGGTAAAGAGATGATAAAATATGATTCTTAATATAACTGGACACTTCTATATAGAAGAAGCAAAATGTAAGCATATTTTGTATAAGTGGTGATTATAGAAGGGTTTCTATTGTAGCATTATGGATTTTTCATCGGAATTAGAGAAAGCTTTTTTCTATCACTAATACTGAAAATTAAAAAAAGGTGATCCAAGGACTGTCTCTAAAGATGAGTCCTGATATGTGTGCATATATGTGTATTTACTGATTTCTGATATAAGGGACATGAAAGCTAACCTGATTCATTTGTTTTTAGGGGCTCTTGGCTTTGGGCCTCAGTGCAAGTCCATTGGAAAAGGCAGCTGCAACAATCTAGTGGTCACCAGCAGTCCCATGATGGTTCAGCGACTGGGACCCATTTCACCACCAGCAAGCCAGGTCTCTACAGCATGCAACCAGATCAGTCCTAGCTTACAGAGGGCAATGAATGCAGCCAACCTGAATATACCTCCTTCAGATACCAGGTCTCAAGTTACTTTTTTTTTTCCCCTTCTTATGGTATGATCACACCCATGACTGTTTTTCATTTCCTTACTGAATGCATGCCCACACAACACACACACACACACACACACACACACACACACACACACACACACTCAAGCAGCTCTTTTAATTTGAGCTTTGTAGGGGAATGTGTATAAAAACCGTGTGTGCCATAATATCATCTTAATTGGGAAGAATGGTTTAATACCTGCTGGCTTACAGTGTGAGTGAAATTAAGGCCCACTTTGAGATTTTGGGGCCTCTGTGACTAAATACCAGTGTGTTAATCTGTTGATTCCTGGTGAAGCAGGTCATATCATGGCCTAGAAAGATAAGATGTTCCATGCACATCCATCTTAGCTGCTCCTTTTTCAGTGTATGAGTTGCAGCATCCTAAGGCTGCTTTACAGTTGTTTTGTCTGTCCATCCATACATTCACCCATCTAACCAAGTATCTTAAATATTTATGGTCCTGCATAATATAATAGTTGAAGTTTAGGGAGATAGTTGAAAAAGTAAAGATAGAAATCATGAATTTCAAGACTTTATGATGCGTCTAGGAAGACATACTTTCGTGTGTGAGTTACATAACATTTCAACACAATGTCTGATTAGGTGCTGGAATAAGTAGGTCCAATAAATGCTATCATCTATCTCCATGGGAGATAATTGAATAGGGAAATTACCTTCTCAAACAAATTTTTATATCTCTTAAGGTTGATATTACAGGGGACATAAAACCAAAATACTGTGCAATGTATAAGGTCTATTTCTATGTTTGAAATGAATTATTTCATCTTCTGTAAGTAGTCTTCTTGGAGAAATACAATCCAAAGTTTTTGCCTTAGTCCCGGATCTGTTGTAACTGTGATTTTGCAAAGGAATTGGACCTCTCTTCTGTGGACCTCTGTTCCTCTTCTTGGGGGACTGGAATCTGCTGAGATGCCTTGTAGTTCTGGGTTCTGTTTCTTCCTCTTCTTCCTCCCCTTCCTTTTCCTTTTCCTCTTATCCCCCTTTCCCCCTCTTGTGTCTCTGCACTGTCCTCCTAGTTGCTATTCGAGACTCTGAAATCACAGTTCCTGGATCATTTTTTATGCCAATTTTTTCATGAGATGGAAACTTGTTTTTCACCTGAGATTTTTTTTTGTGATGGGAAGCTGCTCCTGTCATTTTCCTATTGATGATTATGCCTTGAGGGACTCTTCAGACTTGCTGAGTATTGCATGTAAAATTAACTGTACTCGTGGGGTAGATGTCATTGGGAAGCCTTCAGCTTCCTGTCTGTGGCAAGTCCAGCCCATGCCTTGAAGGCAGAGAGTCATAATTAATGGAGAAACTGAAGGTAGGCAGGGCACCGGCTGTTTCAGCCATGCATGTATCTAGTGCAGTCCCTTTCATGGGTCGGGCAGGGAAGGGTCATTATTGCAGTGTTTTCTGGCATGTTTGATTCCTTAGCATAAATTTTTATCCTTAAAAGATAACATCTTAGAGATGCACTGATATATATGTTTTGATTATGTATTCTGTGAGTCCTTCTATGGAAATAATTTTTTGCAGGATGAGCAAAGAAGCAGGAGTTGGGAACTGGCTTGGTGAAATATCGAATTTACTTTTAGCAATTTGGAAAGGTCACATTTATTTATGATACTTAAATTGGTTTGTGTGTTCCATAAGAGGAGAGATAGGACAGGAGGCAACAGTTCAACTTGAAGGCATTTTGCTATCTAGAGATGAAGAGAAGATGGAGAGACAATCAGCTCTGTGTATTGGGGGAATGCCCGGGGGGGAGGGGGTGGGGGGTGGGGAGCTGGATGGGGACATAACTGTTCAGTCTGAGTGATGGCCACCCTATAAAAAGCTGTAAAATTTATTGTTTTTTCCTGATTATCTATGTAATTCATACTCATTGTAGAAAATGTGGAAAATATGGACAAGAACAAGACAGTATATTATAGTCATCCCGAATCCTACCACTCGCAGGCAACCATGGGTGGAATTTTGATATATATCCTTCTAGCTGTAGGCAAACATATACATCATAAGCATAGGTTTCCCATTATAGATCAAATTGATCTATAATGATCTACATAGTATTATATTTACTTTTTTCATTAATAAACACTTTCCTTTGTAATAATCTTTTGTGGTAAAAATATATTTAGCATCATATAATGACTTCTTCCTGCCCAAGATTCCACTTTATTAAAAAGTATATAAATAAAACTATAATTTTTATCAGTATCTTATTACTGGGCATTTGTTTCCCTTTATTTCATTATTATAAGTAATACTTCATTGGATTAATTCTGTAACTCTTGTTGCCCATCTCTTTTTCATGACATATATGCATATATATGTATACATATATATGTAGTCATTCTTTTAAGCATCATTTTGAGGAATTCCTTGTCATATATACGTTAGTATTTCTTTTGAGCTTGGCGTTGAACCAAGCAGTTCAGCTTGGTCATTACACCTCTTACAGCCCCATGAGAATTACTGAGCTCTTGCTTCACCAGCTACCCTAACCTATTTCACTGTTGGTTTCTGAGTTTTTCATATTGCTTTTATTTTGTTTGAGTTATCTTTCTTTCACATATAGCTTCAGATTAACCAGTCACCAGAAACAATATGCTTAGGATTAGATGAACATATGGAAATGGAGATTTCTCTAAGTATGGTGATAGAACCACAGCTCTTTGTCACTTTCTTTCCCATAGGCTTGGTGTGGGTAGCAGCAGGGATTATAGGCAAGAGTTCTTTGCAATCTTTCACAGTCATTCAGCATATTGTTTCAGAAGGAGAACAGAAAATGTGTGCTCCAGTTGTAGCTCGTGTGACTTTAAGCCTCGTACACCAGGTCTTTTAATCAAGCAGAGCAGCATGGACCACATGTGGGGTATGTTGTGGGGAAAACAGTGGAGGATGTATGTGATCCAGCTAGGTGACTGCCTATCAAATGCTGCTTTATTTGTACTTCTTTAAGGAGTTTTGGTGCTTTTTCTGGTGTCACTGGGAGGAATTTCACAGAACCTTGGTTTTATCCTCTGTAAAACAGAGGTTATTTAAACAATCCAATTTACTTACTTCACAGGCTGTATTAAATGAAATAATACAAAGGGAAAATACTTCATAAGTTAAAAATGATGGTTATCATTATATTGATTGATTACTCACCTTAATCAACATTTTTTTTGGAAAACTTTAACACTCTGGTGGGTACTGGCGGAGATAAAAATGACCCGTTTTTTTTGGAGGACTTTGAATTTTATTGAGGAAGATAACACCCGTAGATGCCTGAAGTTAGCTATGTTTAAGGCTCAGTACAGACAGTATATAATTTTTCTGGAAAGAGGACTTTTACTGAGAGCTACTATCTTTGGGGCAGGTTTCATGGATTAGAACTTTGAAATATTAAAAGATCTGGGGTAATTGCTTAGAAGGGAGGTGGGCTGCTAGGTAAAGGCCATTTGTTGGAAATTTTGTTCTTATTAGGTGTTTAAGATAGAAGAGAGAGTTCTCCATTCATATAACTGCCTTAGTGAATAGAACATAGAATTTGCTTTCTGAAAAATATATGATAACTGTCTTAGAAAACTGAGATGTCCAAGGAGTTAAGGAATGTGCCTGCATGGGGTTATGCTCAAATTTAAATCGAACGATACTTCAGGTGTATTTTGAGAAAAATAAGAAACATCTCTTGACGGTGGAACAAATGAACATGTCTCACTCACTACAGGCAGCCCTCAAACCAAATAATATAATTGCAAATGCAAAGTATATACAGATGGGTAAAATACTTTCTGCCTGCCATTCACTGCTTAAAAATCTGAAATCCTCCAGTATGACAGTGACCAGGCAAATGCACCATTTGAGAATGTTATATAAACCATCTCAACCTCAGGGTGTAAAGCAAAGTCAGTTGTCTTTGCCTCATATATGACACGACTACTGATTTGACTTGGGTCAGAAAGCAATTCTGTTATCTCCCTGGGGAAGGGACCAAAAAGCCCTTGACATCCTATCACCAGGAGCCTTCAGCTGAGCTCTTCAGGGAGAGCTACAAGCTGCAGGTATCTGGGAAAATAATTGAAAGTGTCCATGGGGAATTAAAAAACAGATGGTTCAGAAACCACTCTGGGGCTTGCAGAAGGACTTCAGTCCAAATATAAGGATCTGGACAGAGGAAAAGAAATCTGTGTCAAGGGCAACTGGACGTAAATTCCTGCT